AATTAGTGTCCCATGCTGTGAGTATGCTCCCAGTTTGCGCTTATTCTCCCAATCTGGGATAATATTCATTACTTTTTACTAAATAAAGGTCTAACGTTAACGTGTTACGAATTAATTAATTCTGCGGAATGTAACACGAGCTCATATAATTAATTAAATCATTCGGAAAATTAATACAAAATAAATATAGAATATAATAAAATTAAATAAATAATGGATAAAATAAATAGTTAAAAATAAATAATAGATAACTAAAAATAAGAAATAAATATAAATAAATAATAAAATAATATAGAAAATATTACTCCGGATTTTCGGGGTCGTTGATCAGCGAATTAAGGTCCAATTCGCATTCCGGTGACACTATGTAGTTGCCTCAAGTCAAAACATTTCAACTTTGGGGTTTTAATTTCAACTTCATGTATAGAAGGAATCAAATGAATTTTCAAATAATATATATACACACAGGTTAAACAAGTTTTTGTGCGCAGTCATGCCCTATTTTCTATTATAAATTCAATTGAAATAACATGTTTCACAACATAAAAAGATCAACAATTGATTTTGTCACATGTGATAAAACAAATGTCCACTATGCTATATATTTATAGATAATTATTTACATTCTCATTAAATAAATTACTAAATTATAATTTTTCATGTGAGAATTATACAAAAACTTGGATGATGATGATGATGATAATAAAATAATAATAATGGTGATTATGATTGTCTATGGGTGTATTTTATTGTGATATGTTATCATTATTTGTAATTCACCAATTCCAGAATCAACAACTTGTGGAATTAAAATATTTTCACCACCAATAACTTCATTGTTTTTTTTTGAAACAGGAAAACCACCAATCATATACTTCTTATTATTTTGACTCTGACTTTTATAATTGTTATAATCATTTACTGAATTAATTTGTTGATTTGTATTCTTGGCTTCTTGTGTAGCTTCTACCTCTTGACTTGTAAAAATACCAATTGGATTTGGTAAACGAACTACTTTTGTTAGTGTTTTAGTTACTTCCCATGTTTTACCTATTTTATCCATTTTTGAATAATTATCTATTCCTAATCTCATCTCTCCCAACATTTCATCTTTTTTAAATGCTCTTGATTGATATAGTTGAAGTAAAAACCCTGCTGTTTGTGGGTCTCTTACATAAAATATATATTCAGTTTTAATTTCTGGATCATATGATTTTTTAAAGTGTCTAGTTTCATAACATTTGGAAACCCTAGACTTTAGATCAAAAAAAGATAGTCTAACATAACCTTTATTAACTTCCCTCTTAAAATCTCCTTTAATGATTTGTATTCTCACCATTCCAACATAATATGATTTCCCAAAATATATAATAGGATCATACCATTTTTTGGGAGGTACATCTTTAATTAATTGTCTAATTTTTATTGGTCTTGTAGAGAATATTCTTAGAAAATAGGATGCCTCTTTTCCATTATTAAAAGTTGATGGTATTAAAACATAATGTCCACTATTAAGTGTCATCCTTGTTGTAACTTCACGCACATTTTTGTAAGTTACAGAGCCTACAGTTTCATATGTTGACTTATGAATTCGATATTTACGATTCTCTTCAATTTTAAGACAAATAAAACCTATTGTAACCTTTTCTGTTCTTATTTTAATATCATCATCATCATCATCATCGTCATCATCATCATCATCATCATCATCATCACTACTGTCACTGTCATTGTCTTTTTGCATCAGAGCAACTACTAAAGTAGTTGGTTTGTGAACTAATATAGAATACTGTGGATTTTCATAAAAAGTATTTATGTTATTTATACATCCACCAGCTGTTTTATTCTTAATTGACCATCTACCATGCAATATTGTACCATACCAACGTTTCCCTAATGTAAACCATGATGTATTGAGATGACGACAAATTACTAATGTAGAAAAATTTTTTGTAAAATCTTCAAATGACTAAATAAATAAATATTTATTTATTAAAAACTAGAAGAAATTTTTCAATATAAAAAATGTTAAATTAATTGATTACCATCCAAAAATCGCCATCTTCTGCTATTTTAAAACCTAATTTATTTCTTTTTGAAATACTAATTTTTTGCCACTCTGATGAATTATCAGACCATCTACCATTCCATTCAACTTCACCCCATGGGTTATGTAATTTTATAAGAACAATTTCTTTATTTCTTTTAAAAATACTTGGTTTTATATTTGCCATTCCTGTAATTCCATACACATGCTAATTAGTAAAATTTTACAGGATAAATTTTATTAATCATTCATTTATCTCATAAAATAAACAAATGTACATTAATAAATATATATAAATTATTTAAAATTACCCCAATCACTAATCCGTTTGGTAATCTTTCTTGTTTTCTTTCACCCTCAAGAGCATTAATAGAACAACTCATTAATGCACCTGTGTTATTAGCAAGTTGCAACATTGCTATGAATTTTTTATCGCCCATTTGTTTTAAAACATCATCATGGCAATCATCATCAATATCAGATTTTAATTCAATTGTTTCAGGAACAGTTCCAGTCAAATCAACTAATGCATCTGAAGCAGATCCTGCTTCTAATGCCTCATAACATTTACATAGTTTTGCATAAGCTTTCTCTAAAAGAGAACACCACATCTCATTTGGGTTTTTAGAACGAGAAAATATTAGATGATTATTTCTTGTGGGAAGATAATCATCTACAACTACTTCAATCCACACCCCAAACCGATAAAAATGAAATCTAAATATCCCTATTATAAAAATAAAAAGAAATATAAGTATAATAAAACAATATTGTAACAATCAACTAGCATGATAATTAATTTACCTGGATGGCGTTCAGTATCTCGAAAATTATATACACCCAATTGTTTTCCAGGTTCGTCACTATGACACCAATCTTGATCAATCCAATTAGGTACAACTTTATGAAGTAAATTTGGATGAGCAGCTAAAACACCCAATGCCGATACTAACCAAGAACTATTGATGTTACTTTAATAATAATAATAACAACCATTATTGTTGTTGTTGAATTAGTAAAATTTAAATTATAATACTTAAAACATTGATTTTTACTTATTTAATACATCAGTATTTAATTTTCCATTGTCGAGGATAAATAAATGTGGATTTTTTGAAAGCTCCTAATTATAATAATGAATTATAACAATTGTGAACATAATAATATTAGTAATATTAGTATCAATTGAAAAACCATTAATTTTATTACCTTACATCTTTTCCATTCAATTGGTTGATGAGTCGATTTTGAAAGATTTAGCCTTGATTTCCAGATTGAAGAATCATTAGGTGGAAAAGTATCATCTTGAAAATGTGTACCTGTCCTTGCACAATTTAAAAAAATTTTTTTATAGTCTTGATCAAAAAGTTTTTTATATTTGGGTGCCATTGGATGAATGGATATATCATTTAATTTAATGAGAGTAATATAGTGTTTTTAAATATAAATTCTGATCCTTGTATTAAGGGGGAAAGTAATAAAACATTATTATTGTTATAGACGAACGTGAACAAACATTACAGTCCAAATTTGGAAATTGATTCTAGAAAAAATTGTCTCCCTTTGTATATTAATATTAATATGGATAATTGAGGTACCAGTCACAGGACATTTCCCGCCGATCTATAGGAGGTTGTAAAA